ACTATATATATATATATTTTTTTTTTTTTTTTTGAGACGCAGTCTCACTTTGTCACCAGGCTGGAGTGCAGTGGCACAATTTTGGCTCACTGTAACCTCTGTCTCTCGGGTTCAAGCGATTCTCCTGCCTCAGCCTCCTGGGTAGCTGAGACTACACGCCACGTGACCACCACGCCCAGCTAATTTTTGTGTTTTTGGTAGAGACGGGGTTTCACCATCTTGGCCAGGATGATCTCGATCTCTTGACCTTGTGATCCACCGGCCTCGGCCTCCCAAAGTGCTGGGATTACAGGCGTGAGTCACCACACCTGGCCTCTACTATATTCTTTGACTTATCTTTGTAATTTTGTAGCATTTCATGCATCTGTTAACTAAGCTATTGATCCCATCAACAAATGCTATGTACTGTGTGCCAGACACCATTGTGGGTGCTAGGGATGGATGCAGCAAAGAACAAAAGAGGTCAAAATATTATAAGCTAGTCAGGGGGAGGGGGTGACAACTGTAGGTCAGGTGGAGGTAAGTGGCTTTTTTTAAAGCAGGTAATTGAGCTTTGAGTCAGTGACATGTTAAAAAAATCAAATAAAAAGGAGGTTATAAGATGAAGAGTATAAGAGATCTACTATACCACTACTGTAGGTGGTCAGGGAAGATCTGTCCCTGGGCAGAGATCCGGTGATGAGAAAGCAAGCCATTCAAAGATTTGCTTGGGGATAAGAACTCCAGGAAAAGGGGGCAGTCATTCTTCACAAGTTCTGGTTATTGACACTTTTACAGAATAGCACTTGCTTTTTTCCCCCAGAATTGGGGAATTTCATATAAAAACTCTGATTTTTGGCTTTTCTGTAAAGATCAGAAGATCTGGCAGCAATCTGCTGGAGGTGCATGGAGACCAGTCCTTTTATTTCTATTATTGTATTTCAATCAGTTTTTTGGGAACAAGTGTTGTTTGGTTATGTAAATAAGTTCTTTAGCGGTGATTTCTGAGATGTTGGTGCATGCATCACCCAAGCAGTGTACATTGTATCCAGTGTGTAGTCTTTTATCCCACACCCACCTCCCACCCTTTCTCCCAAGACCCCAAAGTCCATCGTATCATTCTTATGCATTTGCATCCTTATAGCTTGGCTCCCACTTATGAGTGAGACCATATGATGTTTGGTTTTCCACTGCTGAGTTAATTCACTTGGAATAATGGTCTCCAGTCTGGGTGCAGTGGCTCATGCCTGTAATCCCAGCACTTTGGGAGGCCGAGGTGGGCAGATCACTTGAGGTCAGGAGTTTGAGACCAGCCTGGGCAACATGGTGACACCCTGTCTCTACTAAAATATAAAAATTAGTTGGATGTGGTGGTGTATGCCTGTAATCCCAGCTACTTGGGAGGCTAAGGCAGGAGAATTGCTTGAACTCAAGAGGCAGAGGTTGCATTGAGTCAAGATCATGCCACTGCACTCCAGCCTGGGTGACAGAGCGAGACTCCATCTCAATAACAATAATAATAATAATGGTCTCCAGGTTGCTGCAAATGCCATTATTTTTTCCTTTTTGTGGCTGAGTACTATTCTACGGTATATACACAGTACAATTTCTTTCTCTCTTTTTTTTTTTTTTTTTTTTTTTTTTGAGGCAAAGTTTTTTACTGTTTTCCAGGCTGCAGTGCAGCGGCACGATCTGGGCTCACTGCAATCTCTACCTCCTGGGTTCAAGCAGTTCTCCTGCCTCAGCCTCCCGAGTAGCTGGGACTACAGGCGTGTGCCACCACGCCCAGCTAATTTTTTTGTATTTTTAGTAGATAAGGGGTTTCACCATGTTGGCCAGGATGGTCTTGATCTCCTGACCTTGTGATCCACCTGTCTCGGCCTCCCAAAGTGCTGGGATTACAGGCGTGAGCCACCGCGCCTGGCCATATGTACCACAATTTCTTTATCCACTCATTGATTATGGACATTTAGGCTGGTTCCATATTTTTGCAATTATGAATTGTGCTGCTATAAACATGCATGTGCTAGTAGCTTTTTTGAATAACAGCTTCTTTTCCTCTGGGTAGTTACCCAGTAGTAGGATTGCTGGATCAAATGGTAGTTCTACTTTCAGTTCTTTAACAAATCTCCATACTGTTTTCCATAGTGGTTGTACCAGTTTACATTCCCACCAGCAGTGTTGTTCCCTTTTCACCACATCCACGCCGACTTCTATTACTTTTTGATTATGGTCATTCTTGCAGGAGCAGGGTGGTATGGCATTGTGGTTTTGATCTGCATTTCCCTGATCGTTAGTGATGTTGAGAATTTTTTCATGTTTGTCAGCCATTTGTATATCTTCTTTTGAGAATTGTCTCTTCATGCCCTTAGCCCACTTTTTGATGAGATTGCTTGTTTTTTTCTTGCTGATTTGTTTGAGTTCCTTGTAGATTCTAGATATTAATCCTCTGTTGGATATAAGATTTTCTCCCACTCTGTAGGTTGTCTGTTTATTCTGCTGATTGTTTCTTTTGCTATGCAGAAGGTTTTTAGTTCAAGTCTCATCTATTTATCTTCGTTTTTGTTGCATTTGCTTTTGGATTCTTGGTCATGAAGTATTTGCCTAAGCCAATGTCTGGAAGGGTTTTTCCAATGTTATCTTTATGGTTTCAGGTCTTAGATTAAAAGTCCTTGATTCATTTTGAGTTTATTATTATTATTATTATTTGAGATGGAGTATCTGTCGCCCAGGCTGGAGTGCAATGGCATGATCATAGTTCACTGCAACCTCTGCGTCCTGGGTTTGAGTGATTCTCCTGCCTTAGCCTCCTGAGTAGCTGGGATTACAGATGCCCACCACCACACCTGGCTAATTTTTGTATTTTTAGTAGAGACGGGTTTTCACCGTGTTGGCCAGGCCGGTCTTCAGCTCCTGACCTCAAGTGATCTGCCTGCCTTGGCTTCCCAAAGTGCTGGGATTCAGGTGTGAGTCACTGCCCCCAGCTGAGTTTATTTTTGTTTAAAGTGACAGATGAGGATCCAGTTTGATCTTGTGGCTTGCCAGTTATCACCATTTGTTGAAAAGGATGTCATTTCCCCACTTTATGTTTTTGTTTGCTTTGTGGAAGATCAGTCGGCTAAAAGTATTTGGCTTTATTTCTGTGTTCTCTATTCTGTTCCATTGATCTATGTGCCTATTTTTATACCAATACCATGTTGTTTGGGTGACTATGGCCTTATAGTATAGTTTGAAGTCAGGTAATGTGATGCCTCCAGACTTTTCTTATTTATTTATTTATTTATTGAGACGGAGTTTTGCTCTTGCTGCCCAGGCTGGAGTGCAATGGTGCAATCTCGGCTCATGGCAACCTCCTGGGTTCAAGCGATTCTCCTGCCTCAGCCTCCCGAGTAGCTGGGATTACAGGCATGTACCACCACACCCAGCTAATTTTTGTATTTTTAGTAGAGATGTGGTTTCTCCATATTGGTCAGGCTGATCTCAAACTCCCAACCTCAGATGATCCACCTGCCTCAGTCTCCCAAAGTGCTGGGATTACAGGAGCAAGCCACTGCGCTTGGCCTCAGATTTATTCTTTTTTGCTTATTCTTGCTTTGGCTATGCAGGCTGTTTTTTAGTTCCATATGTATTTTAGGATTTTTTTCTTTCTAGTTCTATAAAGAAGGATGGTGAGACCACTTCTTTTAGATGGAGTATGAGGATGCTAACCAGAATGCCTGTTCACCTGGGAGAGTCCCTTTTATGCCTACTGTCCAGAGGTAATTATTTATTGTGTCTATTCGTTCTTTAAAGTGTTCTGGTTTGAACAATTAGTTACAGCCATCTTAGTTGAGTCACAATCTTCACCATTCCCTCTTACATCACACTTAGCTCCCCCCCCCCCCCCCCCTTTTTTTTTTTTTTTTTTTTTGAGACGGAGTCTCGCTCTGTCTGGAGTGCAGTGGTTGGCTCACTGCAACCTCTGCCTCCCGGGCTCTTGCAATTCTCCTGCCTCAGCCTCTGGAGTAACTGGGACTACAGGCGCATGCCACCATGCCAGGCTAATTTTTTGTATTTTAGTAGAGACAGGATTTCACCGTGTTGCCCAGGCTGGTCTCAAACTCCTGAGCTCAGGCCATCCACCCACTTTGGCCTCCCAAAGTGCTGGGATTACAGGCGTGAGCCACCATGCCTGGCCCTCTTTCATTTTTATGACAAGCCCCTTGCTAGAAAGGGAAAAATTATGTGTGTATTGGGTGCAAGGAGTCAGAGCCATCCTGCCACAGAAGTTAGCTTAAAGAATGAATACATGGGCTCATAGTAGAAACAACCTGCTATCTGGTGGATAGAAATTAGGACAGGGTTTCCCTTTGACAGAGAATGTGATGTTACAATTTACTAATCCCTTTCCCCTCCATTATTTAATTTCACAACAACCTATCCAGTTGCACAACTTAGCCAGTTTGAGACTGTGCGTTTCTTTCTGCTGTTTTCCCCTGTGACCTGCATTTCGCGATAAAGAGTCCTAGGCCGTTCTGCTCACCACTGTATCCCAGACAGTCCACCTTTCCCCAGATATGGTTCAGTGTCGGGTGCAAAGAAAGCCCCAGGAACTACTGATTGACTGATCAGGCTCCCAGGACCTATAGCTGGGGTGACCTGACGAGGACACTTTGGCGCAGGGGCAGAGTGCGATGACTTGGTCGAGGTCCGTGGCGAGTCACAGGCTGAGAGAAGCAGGCAAGAATCAGACTCGACAGCCTGACTCCTGACCTGAAGCCCAGGATCATTTCTTGGCCAGCTGCCTGCATCCTCCCCAAACAGGCGGGGAGAAATGGGAGAGTGCGCACGCAGGGACTGGTCTCAGACCTCGGGAGATTTAGCCTAAATGCTGGGCCCGGGGGCCAGAGGCACCGGAGGTACCGGAAAGACCTTATCTCTTTTCACACCGGCCCCGCTGCAGCGCAGGACTACATTTCCCAGGAGCCTCCACGACGCGCACGGTGCCACGCGGCTTGCGCCTCCGCCGACGGCCCGCTGGGGGCGCTGCGGCGACCCCTCCGCCGCCCCGTAGAAATCTCCGGGGCCCGGAGACCGCTTGCTTCCTGTTTGTCGGACGAGGAGACATGGCGGCGGCGCCGGCAGTGGCTCGGTCCGGAGCTGGCCGAGGCAGACGGTCGGCAGCCACAGTAGCGGCTTGGGGCGGATGGGGCGGCCGGCCGCGGCCCGGGAACATTCTCTTGCAGCTGCGGCAGGGCCAGCTGACCGGCCGGGGTCTGGTCCGGGCGGTGCAGGTACGAGGCTGGCCCAGGAGGGGCGGGGCGGGGCGGACCAGGCGGGAGCTGGCGAGGGACCGGGAAAGAGGCCTTTCCAGGCCGCCGCTGGACGGGCCAGACCCCCCTTGGCTGGCCGCAAGGCCTCCCTGTGAGCTGCCCGGACGCTCTCAGCCGCAGCGGGGCCGTGGGAAGCAGCTGGCTTGATGTCCCTTGTCAGTAGCCGAGCGGGGCTGGGCTGCTGTGGGCACTGATGGCGTGTATGAACCCTGGGCCCAGTTTCTGGATCCTCCCTCCCTTGCGCCACGTCTGCATGTCTGGGAGACCCTGGCGAGTTTGTTTTAGTCTCTATGGGCTTTGAGTTTCTCCCCTGTGTATTGGGCGTGGGGGAGGGGGTCATCATTGCATCTCCCAGACGGTTCCCAAGCGTATCATAAATGTCATTTTCTCAGGCCTTTCCTTGACGTTCTCTCCTCCTGCTTTCTAAAGTAGGTCCCCGTTGTTATTCTGTCACAGCCGCGCATTCGTTTCGTTTACGTTACTTTCTTAGTCTATAATTTCATATTTCTTTGTTGTCTGCCTTTTTCTCGCCTGTCTCCCACATTAGGCTGAGTTCCAGCGGGTGCAGAGACTGTATCTGGTTTGCCAATGTAGAGCGTCATGGTTAAGGGGGACTCTGGAGTCAGGCCTGGGTTCAAAGCCCTGCTCCTCTCTCTTGGTTGGGCAGGTTACCTTTCTGTGCCTCAGTTTCCTCACTTGTAAGATGAAGATGAGAATTCGTAACCAACCTTTTAAGATTGTTGTGGAGACCAAAGGGGACAATTGTGTAAAGCATTAGTGCATTTCTGGTGCATAGTAAGGGCTGAAAGTAGTTAGTTAATATTAAGTATCTGATTTATAACAGGTGCCCAACATATGATTATTATTTTTGAGTGAGCGAAGGACACTGCTTTAGGGTAAAGCAGAATGATTAAGACCCAGTCTCCTACTTCTTTCACCCTCCCCCACCTCAGACCTTGCTAACACACCTGTAAAACATTAGCTTTATTTAAACGACAGCTTTTGCATAAAGGAAGTTTGAAGGATACTCAAGAAACTAATAAAGTGGTTGGTGGGAGTGAGGTGGGAATTGAGCTAAAGGGAGAGAGAATGGGAGTGAGACTTTTCACAGTATAACTTTATGTGTAAATTTAATTTGCATTTCACTTTCTCAAATGACAAAAGGATGGAATCAAATAAAGGCTAGGTGGTCTGTGTGTATGGAGGATGGTGGATGAAGGGAGCAGTTCTGAGTGAGAAATGGTTTCCTGGGCATCAGACAACCTTTTTAGCAGCCTTTTTCCCCCCCTTGTGTTCTTCTCTCCCTTACTTAAGAGCCTGTAATCCCAGCACTTTGGGAGTCCAAGGCAGGCAGATCACTTTAGTCCAGGAATTCTGCACCGTCCTGGGCAACATGGCAAAATCCTGTCTCTACAAAAAAAATTAGCCTGGTGTGGTGGTGTGTGCCTATGGGAGGCTGAGGTGGGAGGATTAACTGAGCCTGGGAGGCAGTAGTTGACGGAGTGAGACCCTGTCTAAAAAAAAAAAAAAAAAAAAATCCTGGAACTACTTGCTCTCTCCTTCTTAAGATACCTTCTTGACCTGGGTGTGTAGATAGAAACAGGCAGGAAGAGGACTAACTTTCAGTGAGCACTTAGATGCAAGTATGGTGCAAGGCATAGGGTATCTTTATTTAATCCTCAAGCTTTTGAGTTATCTATCAAGACTGACTTCTTAATATGGGTGAGGAAACTGAGGCTCAGAAAGGTTAGGTGATGTGTTCCTAAACGCCCATCCTGATTATCTGTGTTCTGAGAGTAATAGGGAGCCACAAAAGTTCTTTAGCCTGATGAGTGAGGCAATTTAGGCAACTTAATTTGTTTCCAGTGCTGAGTGACTTAGAATGGGAGGAGCCTAGAAAAGCTTACCAGAGGCTGGGAGCTGTGGCTCACACCTGTAATCCCAGCGCTTTGGGAGGCCTAGGTGAGTGGATCATCTGAGGTCAGGAGTTCAAGACCAGCCCGACCAACATGGTGAAATCCCGTCTCTACGAAAAATACAAAAATTAGCTGGTTGTGGTGGCATGCACCTGTAATCCCAGCTACTGTGGAGGCTAAGGCGGGAGAATCACTTGAACCTGGGAAATGGAGGTTGCAAGCTGAGATCGTGCCACTGCACTCCAGCCTGGGCGACAGTGAAACTTTGTCTCAAGAAAAGCAGCTCACCAGATACAAGGCTACTGGAATATTCTGGAGCCTGGTTGGTTTAGGCAGGTTATTGTGGTAACTGATGGTTGTTTATAGGTATGGGAGCTATTTCAGAGGTTGAGATAGAGACCCCAGCCTGGAACTATAGTGAAGACAAAATGGGGACCTTCATCTTTCAAATAGTTCTTTTCTTTTCTTTTTCTTTCTTTCTTTTTTTTTCTGAGACAGAGTTTCCCTCTGTCGCCAGGCTGGAGTGCAGTGGCGCTATCTCAGCTCACTGCTACCTCCGCCTCCCGCATTCAAGCAATTCTTCTGTCTCAGCCTCCCCAGTAGCTGGATTACAGGTGCGCGCCACCATGCCTAGCTATTTTTTGTACTTTTTAGTAGAGATGGGGTTTCACCATGTTGGCCAGGATAGTCTCAATCTCTTGACCTCGTGGTCCGCCCGCCTCTGCCTCCCAAAGTGCTGGGATTACAGGCGTGAGCCACCCTGCCTGGCCTCAAATAGTTCTTTTCTTAGTTGTTTTTTTTTTTTTTTTTTTTTTTTTTTAATGTATTCCTTGCCATGCCCTTCCTCTCCTCTCTCCTATCCCAGAGAATAAATTATTTGCTTACTGTTTTGTTTTTTGTTTTTTTTTTTGAGACAGAGGTATTGCTCTGTCACCCAGACTGGAGTACAGTGGCATGCTCAACCTCCTGGGCTCAAGTGATCCTTCGACCTCAGCCTCCCTAGTAGCTGGGACTACAGGCATGTACCACCAAACCCTGTTAATTTTTGTATCTTTGGTAGAGACAGGGTTTCACTATGTTGTCCAGGTAACCCATATTTTTATACTGTTGTGGCATGTGGTATAGTAGGAAAAGACCAGATTTAAATTTTTTTTTTTTTTTTTTGGTAGACGGAGTCTCACTCTGTCATCCAGGCTGGAGTGCAGTGGTGCCATCTCCGCTCACTGCAACCTCCACTTCCCGGGTTCAAGCGATTTTCCTACCTCAGCCTCCTGAGTAGCTGGGATTACAGGCATGTGTCACCAGTTCCAGCTAATTTTTGCATTTTTAGTAGAGACAGAGTTTCATCATGTTGGTCAGGCTGGTCTTGAACTCCTGACCTCATGATCTGCTTGCCTTGGCCTCCCAAAGTGCTGAGACTACAGGTGTGAGCCATCATGCCTCGCCAAAATTTTTTAATTGCAGTAAACAAATATATAATGTAGGCCAGGGACATTGGCTTATTTCTGTAATGCCAGTACTTTGGGAGACCAAGATGGGAGGATCGCTTGAGCCAGTTTGAGACAAGCCTGGGCAATGTAGTGGAACCCTGTCTACTACAAAAAAAAATTTATCCAAGTGTGGGAATGGTCCCAGCTACTCAGGAAGCTAAAGTGGGAGGATCAGTTGAGCCTGGCAAGTCATGCCGCAGTGAGCCACGATCACGCCATTATACTCCAGCCTGGGCAACAGAATGAGACCCTACCTCAAACTATAAACATATGTGTGTGTATATATATATGTATGTGTGTCTGTGTGTGTGTGTGTGTGTATATATATATACACACACACACATATATATGTATGTGTAAACGTGAAATTTACTGCCTTAACCATTTGTAAGTGTATAGTTCAGGTCCAGTGTGGTAGCTAATACCTGTAATCCCAGCCCTTTAGGAGGCTGAAGTTGTGGATTGCTTGAGACCAGTTTGAGCAACATGGTGAAACTGTGTATCTTTAAAAAAACAAACAAACAAAAGTGTATACTTAAGTAGTGTGAAGTATATTCCCATCATTGTGAAACAAATTTCCAGAACTTTTTCATCTTGCAAACCTGAAACTACCATTGAACAGCTCCCCATTTCTTCCTCTCCCAGTCCCTGGTAACTGTTCTTCTCCTTTCTGTTCCTATGAGTTCGACTAGTTATAGATAACCCCAGTATAATCATACAGTATTTGTCTTTTTGTGACTGGCTGATTTTGCGTAGCATAATGTCCTCAAAGGTAGCATGTGATGGAATTTCCCTGGGAAAAAATCGGATTTTAAAGTAAGGTGGACCTGAATTGAATCCTACCAGACTGACCAAGGTTAAGTTACTTAACCTCTCTTAACTTCAGTTTCCTTATTTCTAAAGTGGTAATAATAACATCTATCTCATAAAGCTATTAGGAGGATTAAGTGAAATACTATGTTTTAAAAGCTAAGCCAGTGTGGCACACAGTAATAATTGTTTAGTAAATAGTTGCTCTTAGCTAATAGCTAGACTGGGCTTCTTGAAGAGACTGTGTCTTATTTTTTTGTTGTATCTGCAGAGCTTGAAACCATGTCAGCCATTTGATACTCAGGAAATTGCTTGAATTGAAATACTGTGTCCTCACTCAAATTTCTGTCTATATTACTCCCCACATAATCTCATGGTTTTAAAGAGTTTCAGAGCCACATTGCCTAGGTTTGAAACCTGGCTGTGGTATTTACTTACTATGTCTTTAGGCAAGTTACTTAATCTGTTTATGCCTCTGTTGATTCATTTGTAAAATAAGTATAATCATAGAACCTGACCTTCCAAGGTTGTGGTGAGGACCGAGTGACTTATGCATATAAAGCACTTAAAATAGTGACTGAAACATATTCCTCAATTGTAAGTACATTGCATACTCCATAAGATTAGCTTGTGTTGTTATTAATAGCTGCTCTATATTCTGATGAATCCTGAGTTTCTGTTTCCATTCCTATTTCTCCCTTTAGCTCCGGATGGGTAGGTATATCCAATTGCCTTCTCAGCATTT